TGGGTAATTATTTTTTATGTTTTTTTTTCCCCTTCAAAAAGTAGGTATATCAGCAAGAGTCTAATGTTGGCAGTTCTTCAGTAAAGTAAAATATCGCTAGAATGTATAATGCATGTGTATACACTATAATATTTTTCTGTTTGTCACTATCTTTTTTGTGGGCTTGCCCTGGAACAGGGGGTTCTCAAAACTCTGACTTGTCGGTCTTATTCAGTTAACCTTGGGCTTGCATACAGTTGCTAGAACACAGTGTGCATTTTATGTTAAGAAACAAGGGATTTAATGTGTTTCGTTGTTTGAAGTGGGTTTTATTCTTTTTTTTTCAGAGTGTCCAAAGGGAGAAGGAATCGATGGGGTAACGAAGAAGAAAATGCTATGAGTACGAGCCATCCAATTAAACAGGAACCAAACAGTGAGGGAGAAGAAGAATATGAATGGGGTAGGAAATCTGGACTTCCCAAAGAAGAAAAAAATATTCCTCCAGGACAAAGGGATAAACCAAATTTTGGTTTGTCAGGAAAATTGGCAGAAGACACAAATACTTTCAATGGTGTTCTTATCAAGTACAGCGAGCCTCCAGAAGCTCGTAAACCCAAGAGACGTTGGAGGTTCTACCCGTTCAAAGGTGACAAAGGACTTCCACCTTTGTACATACACAGACAAAGTTCATACCTCATAGGCAGAGACCGAAAGGTTGCGGATATTCCCGTAGATCATCCATCATGTTCAAAGCAACATGCCGCCCTGCAGTACCGTCTCGTTCCATTTCAACGTGAGGATGGGATCAGGGGTAAAAGAGTGAGGCCTTATATCATTGACCTTGAGTCATCAAATGGGACATTTGTAAATAATGTGAAAATTGTCCCCAGGACATACACGGAATTGCTGGAGAAAGATGTGATCAAATTTGGCTACAGTTCTCGGGAGTACGTGTTACTGCACGAGCAGAGCAAAGATGACGAATTGGACGATGATGTTGCAGCAGGAGGAACTGATTGAAGAGACATAATATAACTAACTTCTGTACAAGTGTTGACTGGTGGGTGTGAGGTGATGTGTCATCAGTCATTGCCCCTTTGTAAAGAAATGAAAATTGATTGTAAGATGTCAGTTGTACATACTAAATTAATTAAATAAATGGAGCAAAATGTTGTTTAACTGTGAAATTTCGTTTAAAATAATTTGAAAATTATGTGTACATAGCATTTACTTTGAACAGAAATACAAAAGTGTATAATATTTTACTGTCAAAGGTGTTTTTTGTGTATAAATACAAGCTTCTTTAAAGCCAGCTTTATTTATTGTTTCCTAATATTATATTCATCCTATTTTCTAGTCGTCTTTCTGAAAGCCTCTTGCTTCCAGTGCTGCTATACTCTTTGTCAATATTTCTTACTTACACCATGTTTTCACTTTTTCAGTTGGAGTTCTGTTCCATATTTTACTCAGCTGTCTCGTTCATTTCATTGCAGTTATCAGCGTCTGAGCCTCGTTATTTTTCTTCTTTTTTTCCAGTTACATCAATTTATTTATTTCCATCTGCATCCAAAATCTCCTTTATTTTTGTGTAAGACAGTGTGGCCGTGATTGAAAGTCTTTGTTGGTGTTTTGGAATTTTGTGGCCATTGTAATGTCTGACTGAAAATATTCTGTACTTGTGTATTTAGTGGATTTTTGGACTTATGTTTCATGGTTTTTGTCATAGTAAATAAATCAAAAATGGGCACTGTGTGGACTTAAGGTTGATACCAGTATTTTGAAGAAACTTCAGCTATAATGGGGATGGTATTTTCTTTGAAATATTTATATATATATATGAATCCACATGGTGTCACTTCCCAAGACGACGGCATTGCGATCTTCACCACCGTGAAAACCTCAGATCTTAACAAAATGAATGTTATTTGCTCTTTTGTGCATCTGCTGGTTCAAATGTCAGTTCAGTATTAATCAACTGTAGCACTTTAAAATGTCAAAGATAAAAAAAATCCTTTCAAGAAAATTCTAAACTTCTTTGTGAGCAAGAACTCAGACACTGGAAGTTGGATTTTAATTCATGAAGAAAGAGAATATATAAACGAGTATCCACAGATTTTTAAAATGTTTGGAGCAAGAATTGTCTTTCTGCCATTAAAACTTGTAGATCTTGCTGTACAAAGCTGTAGTTAACACATATGTACATGACTGTGTATGTATCTATGCATGGATGCATATATACATGTAAGTCTTCTACTACTACTACTACTACTACTAATGTTAATAACACATTTCATTATGTTATTTACAATGAGTAAATCTATACAATGTGCGCACAGAACAATATGAGAGAGTTTATAATGAAACAATGTATGTACATGATGTGTTGTTTTATACAGTAATGTTCGTAAAAGCATTTGGTATTATGTCCTGACAGTTCTGATAATTGTGGCAGTTTTAAATACTTTAGGCACAGGATATTGTCAGCTTGGGATGCTGGCACAGTATTTAGGTTAAACCATTTTACAAATGGATTGCCTACACATTTTGGTTATATCATAAACTAATTTCCAATTGTAGAGGTTATACAGAATTGGAGCTGAACGGATGTTCAGGATAGGGTTCTAGTGGGTGTACAGTTATGTGAAATTGTGACGGTAGGTTCATTATTGTCATTGGAACAATTATGAGAACTTTCTGGTAAGGTTTCTTTCACCTCTTCCTCCAGTAATGGTTGTTTCGCCACATTACTATAAGCACTGTTTGTCTTTATGTTGGTGTTTACCCCACCTTTATTGTCCATGGCACTGCCTCCAACTGTCTGATGGTTGTTGGTGCACTTCTTCACAGATGGCAGCAATTTCTCAAGACTAGAAAGGTCCTTTTCTCCATTTCTTATGAATTCTGGTGCATTTTTTCTGATCCCTCCTATACAACCATTAGCCTTCATATTCCCGATCACTAAAATACTGCCCACCTTTCCAGCTGAATCAGAATTATCAGTTGTATTACGCACTAAATGGGCTTGTTGGTACATCACTGGTGTTGAAGCACTTCCGTTACTTACTGTCGAAGAAGTAGAAAAAGTTCTAGGTCTCTCCACTGTGTCACTAGTTGATGAAGTCTTGTTATTGACATCTCTGTTAGCGAAGGCTCTTGGAATTTCATAACCATCAGCTATTGCAGATGGTGGTGAGTCATTGTAGATCAGCTCTAAGTATGTGGGAATCTCACGTGTTGTGTTTGTAGGACTCGCATTTTGACGTCCATCAAGACCTGTCTGTCCTTGCGGTACTGCCAGTGGTTGGCTTCCCTGTCCTGATACACTTTCAGGTGAGGGCTGAAGGAAAGGCACCTGATCTCGACTGCTGGCATCACTGCCCGTCTTCCACGAGCTTCCTGTAATTGAATCAATCTTTAGTAGTGGCTTGTTACAGATAAGAGCAATGGATAATTAATTCATGAAGTAGTTAAGAATTCTTAAACATATTCTACAAAATGGCTGAGTTGTAATATTCTAGTCTTTAATTGAGATGTCCAGAGTAATTAAAAAGCCACACAACCTGCATTGTCATCATACTTTTAGTGTTTATGCAAAGGGCAGCTTTGGTGCAGTTGAATGTATACTGTGTCGGCGTGTGACCGTGTCCGTCGTGTGTAATCCTCCTAACGTCAGAGTAACTGGGATTTGTGTAGAATGTAATTTAAACATTGACTGTCAAATAGATGTAGGAAAATTTTTCCAGATTGTTCATTTCTGTTGTGAGACTGAGCATCAGTGCCTTGTACCAATCAAAAGAACTTATGCTGAACATGAGAAGGTGCAATGTTGCAGTGTTACGGGAAATTGTTAGCCCAGAGACTAGCTATCGTCACTAACTTTTTCCATAGTTTTCCACAATCCCTCCAGGCAGATGCCAATATAGTATCTAAATTAGGAGATGATCACTTCCATATAATTTCTAACTAATCATTCATTAATCATGCTATCATTCATTATTCTATAGTCTAAGCTACTAACAGCATCAGTAAACGTTACTGGAAAGGTGTAATCTGAACCAGAATAGACGTGTGTTCTTTGCAAATTGTGAATTCTTAATGAGTGGTAGCATACTGGACTCGCTTGTGTGGGATCATACGATAGAATCCTGGTCAAATCAGCATTTATTTTTTTTTGTGCAGCCGCCGTGCCAGAAGTTACGAAGTTTCTCTTGAGTTGTGAAACTTTTAAATTGCCCTGGATCTCATGTGAAGTTAAGAGATTAAAATATCAAAATTTATTTTGTGTTAGGTAGTTATATTGTGAAACTCTCACACATTGCATCTGGTTATTTACCCTTGCATACTGAATTAGTAAGATCATTAGATAAAATCAGTACCATGTTATAATCAGTGTAAAACAATACCTGAACTGTTATTATGGTTTTCATCTTCAAAGAAGCCACGGTTATCTATGCCACCTGAATCAATAAGGAAGAAAGCATCACACAAACATCATGCATGGTTAGTTTTTCACTATTTAACCCTTTCATGCCAGTTAATGAAATTCACCAATGAGTCAGTTCTTTAGTGCTTCCGGCATTAAGATTATTGTGTTGCCGTTTCGGGATTCTATTTCTAATTGCCAACAGTACAAAGTCATGAATTATCGATCACCATTTTCTGTGATGAGCATGGTTATACTTTTTCGCTAATGCGTTAGTTAAGGCAAGGTTGTAGTTCTTTGGATTAATGTTTTATATTTGTTTTAATGATGGATTCCTTCTTTTTGATTACCATTTCTACGCTTGCTAAAGAAAATAGTTTTTTTTCTGTGTTGCAGTGATAAATGTGTGATGATAGAGAATTGCTAATGGTGAATTGAATTGTTGGTGTAGGGCACAGATCACTTGCTCCATTTGTTCCCCCTTTAAAATAACCTTGGAAATAAGGGATTGTGCCTCTAATAAATTCTGTAGATGTTATATGTTTACATTTCTTCATGCAAGAGAAAATTTACAACCTCAGGTTGATAAGAGGGACCTGTTGGAAAATGTTCCACACTGGATGTGTACTCGACTCGTGACCTGTACTGTACCTGGGGAGTCTGCATTACCCCATTATATAATGCTTCACTGTTGCCATGAGAAAGGCAGTCCGTTAGTGTTGGGTGGGGAATAAGCAGTACTCCCATCTGACCGATGTTTTAGAATTTTTACTCTTCAGTATTTTCTGTTTCTGAAAATCTTTCTTGTGTCAGTTGCTTTTTTTTTTTAAAATACAAAATAGCCCAGAAAATCTTGCATAGCGTATAGCACTAGACCTGGCAGTGACTGGGTTAAATTAGCTGTCATGCATAACAAACACAATATATGTTAAACATACATTACCAAACAGTAACTGAATTAATTACGTTAGTGTCAGTTGGTGACAGTGATAATTTACAGTTGTTATAAGAACAGGAAATTTAAACAGCTGCTCAAAGACCTCAAACCAGGGAGTTAGCTAGAAAATAGTAATGCCACTGTAATAGTTGGTTATTCACATAACCTTAAATTGTTTTTGAGTCGTTACAAGTGGATGCAGTTCTCGTGGGTTACGTGATAGGCACATTTCCTGCTTTTAGAATTTCCTTTAGAAGGCTGTGGAAGCTGCAAGCTGCTTTCATTGTCTGCATGATGACCTGATTTAAATAAACTTGGAATGTTTTGTTGGTTGTAGCGATTCACAAACAGAAATATAAATTTGCTTGAAAAGAGGGTGGGGTTATGTTAAGAAAATCAGAGGAAACTCCTTCATGGAATCATGCATATCAACTTTCAGATTTGTCTGTGAGGTAGTGATTAAAAAAGTAATCGATGTGGATACTTGACACTGTAAAATTTGTGTAACCAAAGACAGTGTTTTCAATTTGCTATTCTTGGACCATAGTTCCTGGATATTTAAACTTTAAATGCTAACTCCATGGTACAAAGTCTTCCTTCAATACTTTATAGTTATTCAGCTGGTCAAGAAATTCCCTGCTTCTATGGAGTTGGATGTTGGATACTGTGTTCACAAGAGCCTCTATAAAATGCTGTATCTCTTAACTTTTACCGTGACAAAACAAGCAGGGCAGTTTTAAATTTAATATGATATACTAGAATATATTAGAATGGGCAGAAGATTAAACAAAATAAAGAGCATTAAACTGAAGATTATTTCATAGTACAAAGATATATGAATTTCGTGAGCTTACAGTTATTCTGTAAATCATTATTTTATTCATTGGTGTACGTACCATTCCTTGTCCTGCTCACATAGTGCCCATTCTGGATGGGTATTAGAGGAAGGTCAGTGCTTTTGCTTTTGAGTTCTTCCAGAACCTCCAAACAGTATGTAAATGTGGGTCGTGTCTCAGGATTGTAGTTCCAGCATTTCAACATCAGCTGATATCTGGATCATCATAAATTGCCATATTTATTGTTTTGTACATGAACTGTACCCTCATATCAAGAAACAGAATTCAAATGACGATTCACAACAGTCTTAGCTATCCCTAGAATAATAATTGTCTGTCCCTAGTGTCAGAGAGAGAAGGTTCAGCTCTCATGTTCATCAGAGTGTGAAGGACCCAAAAAAAAAAAAAAAAAAATAGATTGTTAGTAAAAACACACAATGTGAACAAATGGTAGGAAATGGAACAGGTCACAAGTACTTATGTGCACAACTGCTGTTGTGTATGGGTAAAAAATAATGAGAATAATTAAAAATAAGTAAATACATGTAGGTAATGCACATATATCATGTGCATTATGTTACTTTATTGAGCAATGAATTTGAGGAAAACCTTATATGGGGGTTTCACTGCAATCTGTATGTGGATAATCAAGGGAATGCTATATTTGCTGTAATGTTATCATTCACACTTTTTTCTGTCCATAAAGCTACAGTTAATTGAAATATGCTTTAGTACGTACAGTTCCTCTGGACAGTTGTTAGGTCTTCCAAGGCGTCCACCATTTCTGACATAATGCAGAACTTCCAGGTTGGTTCTGGCCGGGTACGGCTGCTGTCCAAGTGTCATGATCTCCCAAATGAGGACGCCAAAAGCCCACACATCCGACTGGCAAGTGAACACGCCATCCACCAATGATTCTGGTGCCATCCATCTGTAAAATAACTTCTGTCCATGAGTCTAGGGTCCTTTATGAATATTAGTTTACATAAAAGAAATTACACTGTTTATTTATTTTACAGTTATTTAATGATACGGTCAGTAGTTCTGTCTATATACTGTCAAAAAATAGGTTTTTTATGAGTAGTGAATTGGAAAGGATATGGAAGGAAGTGAACATGGCCTGATTTACAGTACTGCCCTAGCATTTTTCTTTGATGGATTGAGGAATACCATGAAAATTTTCCATCAGAACAGTTAGTTTCCGGCCTGAGATTTGAATTGGGAATTTTTTAAATACAAAGTGGAAGTACTAACCACTTTACTTTGATGTTAAAGAAGAGGTGTTAGTTCAAAACATTGATTTGTAAAGTGGGATGAAGATAAAGTTGCCTGTAAACTTAAATATCGTAGCATGAAACGTGTAAGGAACTTGAAAATTAAGGTTCTCATATTATTTTGGTGAGTGATCAGATTCAACTCTACATCTGTCTCAACTCTTGGGGATTGTGTCCATTTTAACCATCGAATGAGAAATGTGGTAGACTCCAGAGGTACTATGGATGTGGTGGCAAACAGGAAAATTCCACCCCTGCCAGGAACCAAACTTCAGCTGTCCAGTTTTCAATCAGTCACTTTGCTTACCAGTATCTTTGGCTCATTCTTACTGCTGTGAAGTACAGAACATACCATACAATATTGTAAGGTGTAAACGTACCCTGTGATATATCAAGATTTGAATGTACCTTACAGGTAATAATCCTTCTCCTTCTTTTCGATAATAGTCATTCTTGTATATGTCTCTTGCGAGGCCAAAGTCTCCAATCTTAACTATTCTGGTCTGAGGATCTCCTGATGATACTAGACAATTGCGACATGCCAGATCTCGGTGGACAAAATGCATTTCTTCCAAATATCTACAGCCTCTGGCGACATCTACACACATTGCCATCAGGTCGAGTAAAGTAAGAGAATTTCCCGTGTACTGAAAGAACAAAATATTTAATTTTTTATGAAAAGCTGTGAGAAGAAATTAGTGTCAAAGCAACACAAGAATAAATTAATATATTTACAGATGTTCATTAAGATTAAAATTGGCTCTGAAATATACGTATCAAGGCAACAACACTTTAATAAATGAACAACAGCGCAGACCACATGTTGAAGCAGGGTTCAACAAGGTCTCGCTCCTTTTATCACGTTTTGTGAACTACGAGTATTGTTAAATTATAGGCATTTGTTGAACTTCAAAATCCACACATGTGTTCAGAAACACAACCATATATTATACTTCAGTATCTTACGATGCATTACTTACTAGGAGTGGCCGGTTTGACCGGAGATAACTTAGTAAGTCTCCATTCTCCATTAGCTCCATTATGATAAAGTTAGGATCATTGTCAAGGCAGACACCCAAGAGTTGAAGAATGTGTTCATGCTTAAAATTGCTCATCAGTTGAGCTTCTTTCAAGAATTCAGCCTTTTCTTGTTCTGTAGCTCCCTTTCGTAATGTCTGCAGGAAATGTAGTAACAGTACAAGTCATATTATGTAATGGAACTATCACATGCACACTATATTATATATTATCAATATAATGCTTTTTGATATGCCCTTTTAATCAGCAGGCATTCAATTTATTAGTTATTCAGTAGTAAATGAGCTGTTTTTATTATCATTCATTTTCATTTTAGTCTTTGGTGTTTTTGTGCTGTATGGACTTCTACGTGGATATCAATGTTTCAGAGTAACATACTGCCTCCAACTTTAGTTCTGAAGGAATATATTGTCTTCCAGACTGAAGATGGAGGCAATATGTTCCTCTGAAACGTTGGTATCTACCTGTGAGTCCACATGTTATTACAACTGCCATAAGAACCTCAAATCTCATACAAGAATTAGTTTATCTCTTGTTCTCACTTTGATAGCAACTCTTGTTTCACCTCCTCCAGAATTAGCCAAGTTTCTTGCGTTGCCTTCAAACACTTCTCCAAATGCTCCACTGCCAAGGAATTTTGTCAGTGTAATCTGATCTCTGCGAATATGAGGTAACAATGCAATCTCTTCGTCTGTAGGGATGTCAGCTGTAGTGTAGAGGGCATTTGTGTTCTGGACAAAGTTTCCTCTGCGAGGAAGTTCTCTCAGTGTTGCCAGTTCAACATCTGGTCCTCGAGTTGCTGTTGTCAATGTTATCATCTGTAGAGACTTCTTCTCCTTTTCCCGTTGTTGAAACTCTACACCAAAAAATAAAGAAAAGTTAGTAGCCTCTGGAAATTCACACTTAATTCTTTGGGTTGTTTGTCAAATGTCAGACGGAATATGACGGTTTAAAATTCAAATGAAATACATTTAATTTATTGCCTCCTTGAATTATTTGCGAGTAGGCTTTTGAAGGACTGACATCCTGTCTGTCTTTTATCAGTAAAAATATTATTCCTAGAACATTTAAACGTGTTTAAATGTAAAAATTAATGGATTTATGTGACAGTAAACTCAGAGAGAGATTATCATACACAATGAACGTTCACAATTAAAAATTAAGCCTAAAGGCAAATAAAATAGTAAATAGATTGTCATAAATCTCTCATACCATCATGTTAGTTACATCAGTAATTTACGGAAAAATGTCTTAATTGACTGCCTTAGTTAGACCTCTATAACAGAGTAATAATGTTCTCTACAAAGTATCTGATGACTAGACGGAACTACATTTACTCTTTTTGGGAAACATTGCTAGTTACGCCATGTCTAATATTTTAAAATTTAAATAAACCAAATTGAAAATGTACCTGGTGGTGCAGCATGCCATACTTTGATGCTCAAATATCCCATCGCAGTTCAATATCATACTGATTTGGACAGTTTTAAAATTATGTAGGGTGCTTATGTTAGACTAAATGGTATTACATGCAGTTACATAGTTACTTACTGTACACTGTTATGAACATCACAGTCACACATAAGATGACCATTGCAATCGGTATACAAATGCTGAGTACAAATCCTAGTTCTTGCTGCTTTGCTAGCATGGCTGCTTCAGTGAAATCAAATGATTCACTCGCTAAACTAAAGTTACTCCAGCCGTATTTATTCATGGAACGGACCCTGAAGGTATACCTCAAGCTTGGGCTGAGATCAGTAATAATCCAGTAGTTATCTACAAAAGAAATTAATTTACTGTTAATGAAAATAGTCACTATATCTTTTTCTTATAAATGAAAATGAAACCTGACAGTCTGGTAAACTTAATCAAAATCTCAAATTCGTAGTTGCATTACCAGGACAGTGTATAATAAATTTTTGCTGTTAAAGTCACAGAATGGCGCTAAATAATCTGAAATAATGTCGTAAATTCTGGAGTAAATAAATAAAAATTCTCACAGGACTTGTCAGCGCCTAAAAATTTGACAGAGTTGGCACTGTACGTACAGAATGCCGAATATGAATGTTTCATACCTGTCCCATTGTAGTATAGTACCCAAATGTCATTATCATCTGCTTCAACAAAATTATTATCCTCCGTTCTAGCTGAATTGTCAGCGTCCAATGTAAAGTTTGCTTCTCTCTTCTCCCGTGTTTCTTCCTCGATCTTGCCTTCCAAACAGTATAACTCTATACGAGCGCCATTCTCACGAGAAGCGTCCCATATGACCTGATAGACATCTCTTCTCAGTTGTTGGATGAGAGGAACACCAGGGGGGCTTGGACAGTCCCCTAAAAATTAGGAAGGCGTCAAATCTTGTATTTACTTTCTTTAATGATACAAGGAACTTTAAGGATAGTTGGCCTCTGAGCCATGAACTCAGGACCTCCTGATTCCATTAAACTGTGATGTTCAGTAGCTGTCTGCATGTTTCAGCATTTTATGCAGTAGAATAAGCAAGAATCGCACAGTCTTTACAGCCGATCATTCACAACCATCCTACCATTTGATGCTATATAATAATGTACTTTAAGAAAGGTGGCGATTAAATGATCCAAGAAGTCAGTCTGTCACATACTTCTTGATTTAATCACCATATATTTGATGAAGAGTAGAAATTGTGAACCTTTCCAGTATGTAATTTTCTCTATTCTCCTAGAAAAGTTGGGTTCTTACCTAATGTTTCGTAAGAAAATCTTTCATCTGGAGGCCATACATATGGCACTGAAGAATGGGGATAAATTAAAGAAAGTCTGAAGACATAGTGTGTCTTTGGAAGCAAGTGGTCTACAAAATAAACTTCTGTGTCTTTCAGTAAGTTGCTCCAACTTCCTGAACCAGCTTCATGGTACTGGATGTCATACCTGCAACAGATATATGTTTCAATTAAATGGCGTGTGAAACCAAAGCATTTCTATCAGATCTAAAACTTCTTGACGATGGTGAAGAGTCAATTAGATAGAGTCCCATCTCCGAAACGTCGTTTTACGTTTTATATTTACTAGACGATGGATAATATCCAAGAAAATTTTTATTCAATTCAAAGCATTTCTAACTTTCCTGCTACAGATTTTTTTATGGGTGCGAAACTTTGTGTCTGACTGTAAGGGGAAAAACACAGATCAAGGGCATTCAAAGGGACGGTGAGAATATTCAGACTTGAGAATGCGGAAGTGAGAGGAGGGCGGAGAAAATTACAAGGCGTGAAAATTGTACTTTTTGCCTAATACTGTTGTTGAGGATGTATTGAAGATGATATGGATGGGGTATGTAGCACACATGGGTGACACTGCTGAGGGGGAAACTGCAGTGAGGTTCTCCATGTATGCATTAAACAATCTCCTAAAAAGAAAACACCAGGCCCCACTTGTCTGCTTCTTTGGTTGTCTGTATGTATCTGTAAGTCTGCTATTAGCATGTTATTTTTAATTGTAGCGTTGTCATAGTTTAGGGTTTGGTGAATTGTTCCAGTCTTGTCAGAATTTCACAAGAAGGGTGCTACTGTGCTAGGATGGGACCAGTGTTTTCTATGCCCATAGTATAATTAATTCTGTACTTTCTTCTTCCCTTCAGGCCACTTGTATTAATTTCTCTCATGATTAGTACCTGCAGTACTGAAAATACCTGACTAGCTCAAGCAATGCTGTTATAATCTCAAGGGCTCAGTTTCTACTTACCTTACAATGGGAACGTTCTTGGAGGGAGTCCACGAGATGTTGAGTGCATATGGTGTTGCGTGTAAAAGAGTAATATTGTTGAGTTCTGGGTACATTGTGATAACAACACCATCACTGTCACTGTACGTCTTGCTGTTCTGAGAATTTGCCCGCACCTGTGCATAAAATAGAACACCTTTTGCCTATATCATCCCATGCTTCAGTTAATTATACAATACCTTTAACTGTTCGGGGTTCTTATGGATTACTTATCGATTCCTTTATAACGGACTAGAATGTTACAATCGAGTCACTGCAACTCACCGTGATGACTGGACTGGTGTTACATATCATCAGAGTGATACATTTAATGTAACGTACCCAAATTCGATAAGTTTCTCCAGGCAGTAAGTTGTTGAGGTCAGATCTGTGGACATTTTTCAGTGAGTCTGTACTCATGACATCTTTGTCGGTCTTCTGACGTACACCAGCCACCATGCTCTCCGTGCACCAGTGTACCTCGTACCATACTCTCTCATCGTTGAACTCCTGTGGGGGCAGCCACTGTACCTCAACAGTTGTGGGATTTAGAACCAGAACTGTTACATTCTGTGGTGATGATGGAGCTGTCAACCAAAGACTCTTTGTTAACGCATCTTCCACTCCACAATTCCATGTCCTCCCATGGTATAGGAACATACATAGGTATATAAGAAATGAACTTTACATTTTGGGAATTTATCATGCAAGAAGTAGGTGTAGAAAATAAAGACGCCAAAGAAGGTTGAACATGAAATGGAAAATTCTCAAGAGGAAGACGGAGGTCAAATGGAGATGTGTTAGGAAGAATAATAGTAAGAAGAATTTGTAGATGGGAGGATCATATTTGCATGTCTTTATTTTGATTGTCTTTCCGAAGTCATGTGTCTTACCTCCTGCAGCAGTTTGGAATTTAGTTGGAGGCCCAGTAACAGGGATAATTCCTTCTAGGTCACTGTAGTAATTTTTAAGTGACACGTAAAATATATAAGTAGAAAATGGCTTCAAATGTGGTACTTCCAATACTCGATTGTACGTAATCTGAAATAAGAAACATAATGCACTCTAATTCTCAAAGCAACATGCAAACGAGAACAGCATTACATAAATAATCGTATCATATTATGTATGTGCTATTGAATGTGTTGTCCATAGTACTTCGATCTCCCGTACTGTCTGCTTAGTTTTTTATGCGTTTCCTACACGAGCATCATGTATAAAAGAAACGTGCATTACTGTTTCAGAATAGACCTCTTATTCTTGCATAACCTTATAACACTGGACATAGTAGTTAGAAGGTTGAAATAATTCTAGCAGCTATGATACTGACATACCCTTTTGGAACAGGAATTTATATCTGCACTGCAGTCCGTGTTCCTGTCCCCTTTGATTTGCCCGTAATATACCGTGTATTCAACCGAGGCCAGTGACATATTCTCACATTGAGGATGTCGCTCAGGTTCCGGGAGTTGCAGTGTTATGGAATGATCTGTGTGACTGATGTTGTTGACAACCAACCTGGCTTGAACTGGCGAAAGACATTTCGGCACTGAAAGATTACAGACACAATACAAACAAGTGAGGTTCTGGGTTCTCATGTTGGTGCGTACTAAGATGGATGTCTTCTGGGTTGTTGGAAGAAGTTTACTGATGTTTCAGAGGTGCTTGCTGCCTCCATCATCAGGGCAATGAGTAAGCCAGATTACATGTCATAATAACTCATAAGATAGCCATCTTTACAATACAAACAATTTATATAATGATGCTGAAATGAATATTTCCAGAAGGGCACATATTTAATTTACGTTGAAAATATATGACTGTTGAATGAAGTATGGTGACAGCGAAAATGATTGTGCGTCATTTTTGGAAGGACACAGTTTGAATTGCACTCAGTGACTGGTTGTACTGGCTTAAGTTCTTGTAGTTTTCCTGAATCCCCACGAGCAACCGCTGGGACAGTACCTTGAAATATTCCTTGCTCACTTCCTTGCATCTCTCTTTCATATTGCCATTCATAATTATTTTACCATTCAGTATGACAGAAAGTAATTTTATAAACATCTGAATTGTAATGTGAAAGACTGATTTGAAATACCTGTAGTTTTCAATGTTAATGCTCTCAAATCCCATAATTCCTACCTGGATACGGTTGTAAGTGTTGTCCAAGTGCTGCGATTCTTCGAACTCCTGTTATGTTAACTGACATGACACCTCTCGTCATGCTTGCCAACACTTGATCTTCTGTGGCCTTCATCACTGAATACACTTTGCCTTCGGTTTCATTAGACCAGTATAACAGACGATGGTCCGTAGTAATTGATGTTGGGGGAAGACCTGCAAAAGGAAATTAAATTACTTTAAGAGCAGAGTTACCAATACAAGAATACACCCATCTCTAAAATTCATAAAACTTTTCACAGTATATTAATGACTTATTTAATTTTTTCATTAATTGTTTCTCTTGCTGTCTGTCTAATCATAACATTATTACAATTTTTACAATTTCAATAAATGGAATCGAATTTGGTTCATATCACATCATCATCAGAATAAGTATCTTCATTACTGAAAGAAAATTATGGGATTGTTTTCGTAGTGAAGCTCAGTTATTAAATGTCCCTCATCATATAATTCTCTCTGGTCATTTATTACTTCATCTCTGTCCCAAGATTTTTCTCACAATTGATTTTCTATCCTCAGAGTTTCACACCCATAAGAAGTAATGTATAATACTCTACCTGCTTCTGTATTTACGGTGGCATTTACCACCACAGAACAGAAACATCCGTTTGCCTCTGTTTGGTACACATGATTCTCCTGACCGTCCACCCACAGAATTTGAATACTTGCTGGATCAGTCTGATCAATTGTCATTGCTTTCCCAACAGATGGATTCTGAGGACAAGTACATTCACCATTTGATGAACTGTCTCTTCTGAAACATGACAACACATTTAATTAAGAGAATGGAAGCAAACGCAACATACAAATATGCAGATTTTTCAAAATTATTCTGTGAGCTTCCCACAAAGTTGGAGTTATATTGGACTGATACAGACCAGAATGAAGTTCACCTTATAAGTTTTAAACTCTTTTAACTGGTTTTGGAGTCGAAACACGCATATAAGAATGTATAATATCCCTGTTATTCATCAGTTCTTTCAGTTAAATGTATTCTATAAGAAGATCCTTACCTTTTTCTGTGGGTGTTTGTGAAAAATGGTCGTATCATACTTCCGTCAGCTCTGCTCGTCATAAGATGACCCACTCCACTTTTATTCATTTCAATCCAAAATAAAGTGCTGCAAAGTTTGTAAGAAATAATTATAAGATATGGTTTTGTTGATAATAATTACATTACACAACATTTAATTCAAAAATAGCAGAATTTGTATAATATAAGCTACATTATGCAAACTTACACATCTGACATCCTCATATGCTGCTTTAAATGACAAGTCATTAGTTAGTGTTATATAATCTTTTATGATACGGGTATAAATACTTTGTTATGGAAAATATTAATAGCTAAAGATTTTTTTGCTCACACCATGCATGATATGAAACACAAAGGCACGTATTAATTATAAAATTTGTTACTAAAATAATTAATTGAATAAAAATTTACTTGGATATTATCCATCGTCTAGTAATAAAACGTAAAACGACGTTTCGGAGATGAGGCTCTATCTCCGTCTTCAGGTTCCTACTCAGTTGGGCCCACTAGATAGAGCCTCATCTCCGAAACGTCGTTTTACGTTTTATTACTAGACGATGGATAATATCCAAGTAAATTTTTATTCAATTGACTCTTCACCATCGTCAAGAAGTTTTAGATTTGATATAAAATAATTAAGTAACTTTTAAATCAAAGTGCAAGTCATGTGCTAATGAAATTCAGTGCTATCATTATCTCACATAATTAAGACAAGTGTACAAATAATTTATTTCCGTATGTAATCTACCAGTCAGTACCATGTACTGTGACTGTATCGTCATCGTCATCAGGAGGAGGGGGGGGGGCGGTAGTAGTGGGAACAGCTGTAGAAGCAACATGAACTTTCAAACCTTTTAAAAGGAGATATGTCAATGCTGTGAATGAACTTAGATCTTCTAAGCACTTTGGAAGCATATATATGACCCCTTTCTGCTTGATTCAAATCCAGTCGATAAATTGTTGAACCTGGGGTTCTGTGGTTTATTTCAGACCAATAGAGATATCTTCCTACCCAGTCCACAGTAATACTTAATCCAGTATTGTTCAGAGTCACAATCTGTAAACAAAGAAAAATATTTAGATTTGTGAAATTATCAAAGTTCAGAAAGATATATATTATGGTTTTCTGGTTTCCATGTTCCCTAAAACCAGATAATATCAGTGACAGGTGAATAACTGTAAAATTCTCATTGAACCAAGTGCAGTTCATGTGTTCTTAATGATACATACCTTTCCTCTGTTCTGGCCATCTAGATTAGAACTCAGTAACTCTTGCATCTCATTCAGCCAATATAATTTGTTTTCAAGACTAATGAATGCTAAATCTACAGGGGGTCCACTGCTTCGTGACAGCGTCTGGTTCTCATGTTTGTCGCAGTCAGTGATCTTTACAGCGTCCAAAGTAGAAAGAAGTAGCTTAGGGACAGGCATCTCCACATCTGTATCTGCTCTTACGGGATCAGTCAGTGCTCCATTGCCAACACTTGTATATGCCTGGACCTAAATCATGGTTGCAGAAACAATTCAAACTTTATTAAACACTGTCTAAAGTATCTGGTCTTCAAGATTTTTCTTCAGATAATGTAAAATAATTAAAAAAGTAAATCTTTATTGCTCTTACCTGAAAGTAATACGTTGAATTTCGTGACAAGTTGAATGCAGTGAATTCCAGTTTGGTAGCATTTAAGTTCAGTGAGTCACATACGTGAATGTAAGTTCCATGTGACGAGTACCAGCACTTCACTTTATAACCTTCAACAATACCGTTAGAATATGTGGGAGGATCCCATCTGAACACAGCCATCACATCCTGTGGAGATGCAATCTGTTCAGTAAGATAAATTTAACCATCGCACAACGTAGAGGGAGTAAATATAAATCACGATCAATAATCTTGATATAAGATGAAGTTGAGAGGTTAATCACCATGTGAAAGTATCACACCTTGGAAGACGTATTGGGGGTATGAAGAAAATCGCCATGCTTTCTTACCCTTGGCTTTACTAGATGGGGATGAGTGTTCAATTTTACATTCAAGCCTGAATAGAACCGTAATGATGCAAGTGTCTGGAAAATATTATACAGAAGTTGAATTTCAAATTATTACCACATACCTGATCTTCTCTCACCGGATTTCTAGAATATGAAACGAATACACGTGGATTTGTGGGTTCTGTGGGCACTGAAGGTGGTGAGTGCATGATCGCCCGCACCTGAGGTGATGCACCCCAGTAAGTGAAGGCTTTGATTGTTATCTGCAATCTTGAATATGGAATCATTCCCGGATTCCAATACCTTACAAGTGGCTCAACCGTCACTTTCTGAAACATGAACAACGAAAATACTGCACTTCCCGTTGTAGACAGTAGTAATTTTACAGGAACACACAGCTGATAGTTGGTAACAAAATAATTTCATGGTACTTACAGGTTCAGAAAAATCCGTTTTTGAAAAGTCATAAATTTTGACTTCGTAAAATACTTGATCATAATTAACATTTGTTACTGGGTCCCATTTGATTAAAAACTTGTCCCATGTTCCTGTGATGTGAATTGAAGGTAGGCATACTGGTTCAGGAATAACGTTAATATCATCAGAGACACTCGTATCTGCAAGAGACAAAGACGTTTTACTCAGAACTTCAACAGAAAGTGTACTTTTCAGTAACAAAGAACAGATTACATAGCTGAAAGGGGAGAGGTTATTTTTTAATTTTTATGTCCTGAGGGGAAGAAACCGCTGGGGAGACCTAGACATAGATGGTAGGATAATGTCAGGCGGGATCTTTGGGAGATAGGAGTTGAAGGAGACTGGATTTTGTTGGCCCAGGACAGGGTCCGGTGGAGGGCTTTGGTTAATTCGGCGATGAACCTTCGGGTTCGGTAAGCCATCTAGTTAGTTAGTTATGTCCTTGTATATATAGGAATATGTCTTTTTTTTTTTCGTTGTTGTCGTTGACTTGGACTGCATGCAGGCAAGATGAAAGTAAATGAGATTTGAGATTCTCACTGCGGTGGGTATGAAGACAGTCTTTTGGGATGAAGTGCTGTATTGTCTCATAGAAGTTGACTGATGTTTCAGTGGTGATTATTGCCTCCATTATCATCATTTTCATCCCTAAAGATGAAGGCACTATGTTCCTCAAAAATGTTACTGTGTACCTAAACGTCCACATGGCACTGTTAACCCAGAAGCGAAAGATTAACGTCACTGCCATAAGAACCTCAAATCTTGTACTGGTGATATAGTTCACAATATTTAGAATACATTACAGTTCGTACGCTGTCTTGTAAGAAACATCTAAAGGGTTAATGAGATCAAAATGAAGAAGTTATTATTGTAGTGCGTTACTTACTTGGATAATGATGCAAAGCGGAATCTAAAACGGCTACCATATTGAGCCCAGAGAGGCTTGTTCCACTGATAACTGCAGTGTTCTGTCCATTCAGATCCCCTATCACAGCATTTCTGTCATCCTGTAGCCACAGTAGGTGGTCACCAAAATAGCACAGTGGTCCTAAAAAGAATGAGATGAAATTTACTGCAGTTACGTTGAAATATGTTTAGTTGGTCGTGCGAGTAACAAATTTTCTTTTTTGTAACATCTATCACAGTAGAATGTAGTGGAATTAAATTTTTTCTGCTGAACTTAGCATATAAAAGTGTGAAGTATAAATTAACTGCTCTGTTGGCGATAGGGAGGCAGAGAGGAAGAAAAAGATCAGTATTTTAAATGAAACCTTCTGAACATGAAACTCACTGCAAATGACTTGATACTCAGTCTCAGTTACCTTGCATATGAGAATGCTGCAGGCTCATTTCCTTTATGGGATATATCTCCTCTCCTTGGGGAATTTCTTCAGCAGTTGGAGCCTGGAATAGTGTAGAGCCTTCGTAGCTCCTTACTATCCAGTAGACAGCTCTTCGATCAACATCAAGTGTGAGTCCCATCACTGTCGACAATCAGAATGAGTCGTATTTACGCGTTTGCTTTCACTATGAAGGCTAGAGCCTTCCATATACAGGAACTAAATCTGCACTTGGTATTAAAATTTAATACCACTAATACAAAAGAACACCGTTGAAGTCACCAAAATATGTTTCTTTGATATCCGTATTATTATTGACACATCTCCACCACAGTCTATTAACTGGCTGCTTTCTAAGAAATTTCTTAGCCGAAAGTCTGTATTGTATTTCTGATTTCTGTCATCACCGTTGTATTACCAGTCTTTTGTTCCCTATTTGCTATTAGATCTTTGCTGATTTAGGGAGAGTAAATAATGAAGTTTATTCGTATTATTATTCTTTCAATATTGCAGTAACAGGCATGTACTCACCTTGCTTTCCTGAAAACAGTTCTGCGGGGTAATATGTGCGTCTGTTCTTCCCATTTAGCCGTGCACATTCGACCGCGTGCCCCGTCGACCAATATATATAAGCTTGAATTGCATCAATATTTAACTCCTTAGCTACTGTCAGGATGGGAAGAGGTTCGTGCTGAGTACCATTAAGGCTCCCTCGAGTAATCTATAAAAGGAAGAAATTTCTTTGGGTAGTGTCATACATGAACAAATGATATGTTAGGTCAAAGGGTGCTAAGAAGCAGTGGTAACAACAGCTGTTTTCATGCAATACATACCAATTGCTGTTTTGGATTGGACCAATATAGTTTCTTGCCAATCCAGTCTACAGCGATGCTGCCTACTGAATCCATCTCTCTCAGGTGTCCTGATTCGTGAGTTGTGAGATTGAACCAGTATACATGAGTTGTGTTTGTCACAAGATACAGCTTGTCTTTGTACCAAGCTATGTCGGTTATGTGGTAACTTCCGTGCATATCCTGTAGGAGAAGATGATTGAAAATATGACATCGCAGAATTTATGAAGACTTGATTTTATTTTTAACTGTGTGATGTTTCTCAGGGCGGGGGAACTGATTTTTATCTTCAGAATCATTCGGTGTCAAACCAAGACACACACAGATTTAGTTTTCAACCTGACAGCTTCTGATGTGAATTAATTATGATGAGCTCTTAAACCCTGTAGAAGTGGTGGCTTTGTTACACTACAGCTAGGTAATAGTTTGCGAAACGTAAATAGTATCCCGGAGGATTATTTGAATATTTGCAGTGTATTACAAACATTGAGGAAAATTCTAATAAACTTTATAAAAATATATGCTAAGTACCAAGTGTGGTACATGATTTGATGAATCAATGCAGGTGTTTTTATCTTCTTAATGCACATACCTTTAAGTTTGTATTATGTATGAGCATCTCGACATTCTCTCCTGTTACATCCGACTTCAATAATCCTTCAGCTGCAGACCATAATATTGAAGCATATTTCCCGTCTTGTGGCACCTTTAATGTCTTTCCTCTGAATTCTGATGACCATGGACCTTTTCCTGAACTTGTATATGCAGCGGTTTTTATCACATATTCTGTATTGGCCTTTAAGTTTTGGATTGTGTAAGAAGTAGTATTAACATTCTTCTTGTACACTGTTACTCCCATGGTTTCATCCGTAATGTGCAGTTCATACGACCAGTTCTGCCATGCTCCTTTGCCTAATGGAAAAGAAATAAACAGTCATTACATCCAAGAATATGCAGTAACTTGAGTCGGCATGCTCTTCTGCTTATGTACTTTTATATGCAGCCGCTGAAGTACTGTCATTAGTCACTTTTACGTCAATAAGTCAAATGGTTAATTAATTATCAGTCTGTCGAGTGTTTCGTTCAGTCCGTCAATCAGTAGTCATTTTGTTAGTTGGTCGATTAGGTAGTCCACTCTCAGTTGGTCCGATTCTTGAATAATAAGTCACTTTGTCCATCAATTAGTGACTTATTTAGTTACTTTTCCAACAACTAGTCAATTACTTTCTTAATGGCAACCAGAAAATGTTTAATGTGTTCTTATAATCACCTTGTCCTCCTAGTAAGTGCGGCACCTGCCATGATGTCTTTGCCAGTTTTGATCCTAGTATAGCTTGCACATTGGTTGGAGGGTTCACAGGGATGGGTATGGGCTGTGATGTAGGTAGGTTGACGCTCACGCTGACAAATGACTTGTCTGGCCGATCAGGATAAGCATTATGGAAATAACTGTTATGGATTGGATGGTATTCTTCATACAGCACCTCCTCACCATTGGTCCAGTAGAACACACCATTTGCCATTGCTAAAGAGACCACATTCTGAAACATTGGCTGCTGTGTGTTTCCTCGGAGGTCAACTATTTCACGCCTAAAAAGAATGTATGACTTTATATAGCTTTTATGTTACAAGAAAAATCATCCGTAACAAAATTGTATGTTATGTTATAGCAATACAACATGAAAAATATTCAGTTATTGAAGTACTCCCTTTATTACATGTAGCTGTCATTTTCATTAACATATTTCCATTGCAACTGAACGTAACGATGGGAAAAATTACCACGCGTAAAATAATCAAAACAATTTGCAGTTTCGGTGTAATATAAGAAGACACTCACCCATCCAGTGATACAGAAACAACAGTATTCTGAGAATGGTTTGGAACTAAGAGCCGGAAATTTTTGTGGTCCACTGTGAATGCTCCAAGGTTAGGATCTTCCAGAATGACATGTGGTCGTACTTCATGTTTCACTCCATTGCTGATATCATGTAGGTCCAGCCGGTACAAACCTCCTATTGTGGCACCTTGTATTACCCAGAATAAATAACTGCAGGGAATCACAAAATAATTAGTACCAGCCTTTATCATCTTCTTCTTATTCTTATTCTTTTCCCTTCATTGCATTTTTTTAACATATCCAGAAAAGTGTTAACATTTTTTTGACATTCACATGCATAAAAAATTATATTTTAAAATGATATGGAACCAACTTTGGGAGCAGAAATTCAAAGCACATAGGAGTTTGTTTGTACAGTGTTTCGCCCATTTAGCTTGTAAATAAAAAGTGCGTGCCTTTGCTGTACAGACAGAATCAAAGGATTTTATGATAGTCACATCTGGCAAAGGAAATGCACTGATGTAGTAACTGTTGTAATCTTACCCGTTGTATGGATCGACTTCAATGTGATATGGTTTAGTAAGGATACCAGCCACTGCAATGGTAAGCCCACGCCCATCCAATCCACAACGGGCTACCTGCCACATGGGTCCTGTAGAATGTGTCACCTCTCCCAATATGTACAGTTGGTCATTGAGCCAGTCCACACTGAGGTCTAGCGGTAGGAAATTGGCGTGCGATGGAGTGAGGATGGTACTTGGAGCCTCATAACGCATCAGCGATGAACTAGCTACATAGCCGGCAGAGTCCGACACAAACAGCAAGCGATGACTTACGTGTATTGCAACACCTGTAATGCACGAATAGTGGCATGTTCGTATATTAACGTTTATTAAGTTGAGGTCTCATATACATACGCCAGTGACCACTTGACATTGAGTTCTTTCCCTCGTAGGTAGACACCAATGTTTCAGAGGAACATACTGCCTTTATCTTCAGCTTATGTTTTAGGCAGTATGTTTCTCCAAAATGTTGGTGTCTGTAAGTCCACAGAGCATTACAAGCCAGCATCAATAGGAGAAACTCATATTTTATAAAATATAATGTGGTTTACAAATTAGGTGGTTAAATACCTACTGTGCATTTTAAATGTTTAATAAAATTGAACACAGTGTTAGTAAGGAATCATACATGTATATCTGTTGAATATGTATGGTGTACCTTTAATAATATGTGATGTGTTGTACACAATCATTGGTTCTGCTAAAATATCAGCTTCTCGTCTCAATACCGTGTGATAGGTTCCCAAAATCAAATTAGGCTTGCGTGTGTCTTTCACTGGAATCAGATAAACAGAAAGTTTGTTTTAGATCAGATACGTAAAAGCACACATCAGAACAATATGGTACAGATCTGAAATTGTTCTATTACCTGTAGGTTCAGGCGGCGTTGAAACCAGAGTGGTGGCGGGTGGTCCTTCCCCTACGACATTCCTCATGCTCACAGACAATGTGTAATTTCTGTCTGGCACCAAATTCTTGAACATGTAGAAGTTAGTATTTTCAGATGCCGCGATATCCTAAGTACGGAAGCATAAATTTTTAGTTAGTTATGAAGAATTTTGTGTTTGAGATGACTGACCTGGCGTTGCAGTAATAATATTCATTCCATCAAAGCCACGTTGCAATTAGAAATTGAACAGTCATGCAGAATAGCTTGAAGCAAAGTAAAATGGGACGATTTCAGATGCCTGTCCCGGGCATGACGTTAAACTGCGTCCACAGACCGAGTGACCACTGATATAAGTGGTCCCCCCTCTACCAAGTGCCAGCAGCCTCTTCGGAGGGTGGATGAGCGGGTGGAGGTTCAGGGCACCCTCATGCCCTTGGGGTGAGAAATCACCCCTAAAGGCGGATGAACCCGGATGGGTCAATGGCATAGGATGCGGAAGGCATGGGGAATCCACCGTAATAAAGATCCTCAGGATTTCCCAAGTATCAGCAGCTCAGAGAGCTGCTGCCAACCAATCCTAGGACTGATTACAAAAGAAGAAGAAGAAGATATAGGCCATTCAGAAATACCCAACCATTATGTATTTACCCAGAAGATGGTGACTGCAGTGTTTGCTGAAAAAATGGATAATTATTAACAGTTGATGCAATTCATCCCCAAAAGCCAAAGTTACGCATTGAACTCCAGGTTCAAAACCCTAATGACAAGAATTAGTTAGACAAAATATGTGCTGATGCAGTTTCTTGATTTCATCACGATAATTATATTATTTCAAAGTTCCTACGTCTGTTTGTCTCTCTTCTAAACAGAACAGATCAGAAAGATGGCATTCCAACGCTCACATTTAAATTAGTTTAAAGACACACATGCAGTTTTTAGTGGTATTAGGTAGCGTACGAGCTTAAAGAGGACTATCACGCTAGCTGTGAATAAAACACCAACTCTTGTGGTTCAAATATTGCATAAAATTGTTAAATTGCTTGCTGTGAAGTTATGTACATATTGAACATAAAAGACATGTGATATTTAATGTTATAGCACACAGTTTTTAAAGTCAGCGGTTCCAAAGTCATGCTTGTGTAAAACAAACAGTAATTTCAGGAATACATATTTTGAAATAAAGTGGATTTGAAGAGCAGATTGAGTTCTCAGAGTTAGCCTTGATAATGTAGAATTTCATCATTGTTTCTAAATATTATGAAATCCCGCAACTAAATTATTACTGATCTTCTCTCTGTATTTTGTGGTTTTCAGTACACTGTATTCAAAATCTGAAGATATGTTCTCCAAACTTCAAATTACATGGATATTCACATGTAAGTTGAAAAGCCTGTGAATTCCAGTCAGTCAAGATTAGGCACAGATGAGTATTAAAGATTTCAAAGCGACTGAACTCGATAAAATCTTCTCGGTCAACATGCCTTGTGTAAGTTCTGGACAAATGCCCAAGATTTCAGGGACCATTTCCACCTACATCATCAAGGGAAATAGTTCATTCCCCTAGTCAACAAAACGTTCATCTTTTATCCGAGACTTACACGGCTTATTGCCCAAGAAGATTTTACGTTTTGAAGAACCGAAATAATATACACGTGTGTGTATTAATTTCAAGGTTATGGGTGCAGTAAGTGAGACGACAAACAATATTGTACATGCATTTAGTTATGCAATTTTTGAACCTCTGATTTAATCAGATTTGCAACTTTAGAATGCAGCTTGAAAGAAGTATAAGTCAGCCAGTAAGCAAGTATACAGGGCAAATACCTAGAAGTGATTCGCTAAGTCATTTATGTCAATAATATGCTGTGATAGTGGAAGTCATTAACTGTTTTTCTACATAATTCCCATGGAGACACTCAATGTACCTTGGGGTGCCCCAGGAACTGTGTAGAAAAATGGTGCATGACAAGGACCAGATGATCACTTCAAGATATATTGCCTTATAAACATTTTCTTCGTAAAGCTGTCATATAAGGTGAATAAACGAGAGGCAGGAAAGATGCAACAGAAAGTTGAGTACTGTTATTGAAAGAAACAGGTTATTGAGCACACGCGTGATAAGGTCCTCTCTGGCTCACCTTGAGGGCTGAGTAGCCCTCCGGTAACTCATTGATCTGCAACACATAAGACAGCACAGGGCCATTGGGGAAGGGCCCAGGTTCCCATGATACAGATATGCGGCTAGAGTCTACCGCAGTGGCTCTCACAATTGTGGGTGCCGATGATGGTACACCTCTAGGCAGCGTGCTGATGACCACGCTCGGTTCTGAAACTATCGGTTCGCTGTGATGTGACAGCAGAATGGCAATCCGGAACTGAAAGAGAAGCATCAATTTCAGAATATCAGATTATAGAGATTTTGGTCATTCATCCAGACTTCCTGCTTCATATTTGAGAGGTACGAAGTTAAATTATCTTTGATTCCATCACTCACCCTGTACTTTGTATAAGGCTGCAAGTTCTCGACTAACACGGTGGAGTGTGGCCCCCAGCTCTGGTTGCGGCAGTATTGCCATGCTCCAGCGAGCTCCTCGTACCGCCATTGCACCAGGTAGCTGATGTTGCTGAATCTGGAACCTTCCCATTCGAGACTGAGGGAAGTGGCGGTGAGGGTGTCAGCAACCAGAGCAGGAGCGGATGGTGTTCCAATCTCATCTGGATCAACAGTACATAACATGAGGTTTAAATCTGCAGCACAGCGACAGACAGGAGTCGAGGTGATCGGAACAGGAAGATGGTGATATTTTCATTCAGTTCGCAAGACGCCAGCTGTGTCTCTGTATCAACATTTATCATTACCTCAGACCACAAAAGGAATGCAGAAGTAAAATGATGAAATTGTTAAGAGAAATTATTTAGAGAAACTTATAGGAAACAAAAATATGAATGAATTTTGAAATAATCAGTGAGGTCTGAGTGTTCCAGAAGAGACCGGAAGCGATGCAAATATGGTTTCTATAACCGTTGCTGTGTGTTACAAGACTAGATCATGAAAGAAATACAATTATCACATAAAATTAAGTGTGTCAAGAAGTATTCATAAAACTGAAGACTGCCGAAGCACCAATGTAGGCACAGGAATTTAAACCATTTTGTGTAAAGAGATCCTAAATGCCTGAAGAAAATAGGGAGAGAGTAATTGCACAGACAGGCAAGTAGGCGTGACCCTGAAAAGTGTTTCAGGATACGTGAAATTAAGAATGGGTCTCGGGTTCGATTCCCGGCGGTGCCCGAATTTATAACTTGTGTTTGGCAAGGCCGTGATCTAGGCAACACGGAGTTTTCCTCCGTGGCATCCCAACAATTACTCCATTCACACACAGAAGAAGGCAATGGCAAACCACTTCTGGATCATCTGCCAAGAACGTATATGAACAGGTCCCAGTCCGAGAAAAGGATGGAAGGATCCTGTTCATATGGACCTGTCGTCACACAGAACACTAAATAGAAAACGTATTGTCAGCCTATAGAGGAGGAGTTATTTCATATTATCTGGATTGTGAGAGCTCCTTTCAATATTATGAACAATAGTTGTGTGAACGTGTGTTAGTAAAATTTGGTTAATACGGAATAAAGACAATGCTGGTTTGGGTGAAACATTACAATTTATTATGAAAGGCTGTAAAGAAACTGGATCCGGGCACGAAAGAAATAAAGTAATTAGAGTGGTGTTAAATTTGTATACATTTGAAGTAATATAAAGTAAGTTATATACAAACGGGTTTGAAATAATGAATGATTAAGGTATATTATAACATTTAATGATACTTTATCTTGGAAGAGAAGATTTTAGGATGAGATGGTCAGTGGCTGTAACAGGCTTCAAGCCTGGCCTTCAGTGAATGAACAAACAAATAATTTGATGAATGAACTAACGACCGAACAAATTAACTTTCATCGACCGTGAGTCACTGCTTACACACGAACCATCTGGCCATGCCCGGTTGTATGTCGGAGTAGCATACCATTAAAATCCATACTTAAAATCTGGCTGTAAGTTCCTTAGGTTTAGGTTTTAAAATCCCATGTGATAAAGTTTATTGATTATAAGCGTAAATAAATTAATGAATAGAAATGTTTTCAGATTTTCAGAATGTATTACGAAAAGTGTATTTTAACGTAAGGATATACTAACCTTTCAATATTTGCAGATATCTGCTGACTGCATAGTTACATCCCATGACACAGTAAAGCTCTTTGGGAGGTAGAAGGTCCTGGGTTCCATTCTGTATTGAAGCGTACATGTTAATTTTTTTTTTCACGTGATAGAAATTCGTAATGTGCAATATTTATTTCATAACAGACAACATGTTATCGTTGCAATGGGGTGAGACTACGTCTTTTTTGGAACTGGACCGCTAATCGGTTCACTGCCTATCCCCCTGATGATACATCAATGTGTATGAAGCGGCAATGGGATGATACTGATTGTGGGGAAACTCTAATGACCTGTCCTAGTGCCACTTTGCCCACCACAAATCCCACATGTATTGACCTGGGCATGAACCCAGGCTTGTGCAATGAGAAGCCAGTAACTGGCCACCACTCATTCTGTTAGTTGCATGATTATGTTCAGGCTTACTCCCAGTAACAGTCAAATTTTTGAAAAATTAGTTATTTTTATGTCTATGTAGGATTTGAGGTTTTCACGGCGGTGAGTCTGAAGATTTCTGTCTTCTGGGTTGTTGCGCTGTGTAGTCTGGTCGATGTTAACCAACGTTTCGAGGCATCTACCAGACTTCACGCCGCAACAACTCAGAAGACAGAAATCTATTATTTTTGTATCATTTGAAATTTTAATTGAATGTCCATAAAAAATGCGGTTTGGATGTGGGAATCTGCATTCTCCTTGATTATTTTACTTGCAAAGAATGTTGTTTTTATGCTGACGTATGTAATAATGATCACAGTACGGCGAACATGAAGTACTCACACAAACATTCTGGCAGCTGGACTCAAGTGCTCTCTGCCAAGACTGACAGCCCCTCGAACACTGAAATACAGAAATAAATTACTGTGTTAGTTTAGAAATTTAAAATTTATGGTGCTGCCTGGCACACAGTTGCAGGTTTAAAGGCTGTTCTTGCTACTGAATTATGACTTTGTCCTTTATGTGCAGAATTAAATTATAAGTAAGCCATCTTAATAAGTGCCCGGTTTAGTTGAGAAAACGTCGCTGAATAAAGTAGGAGACGAAACAAGAAATAAATTAGATGTTCTCCACCGCGTTCGCTCGCTTCCTTCTAGACAAGCCTCAGTCGGTCCGCCCGTCACTCAAACCTCAGGCTAAGTTCATTCAAGAGAGACAGGAAGCAGATGGCTTCGTCGCTAGATGTAAATTCTACATGAACAGTAATTAAAATGGTCATTAATATGCTACCAAGGTCGCATACCTTCCTGTAGAGTCTCTCTTTGTAGTGATATGCTTGTATCATTTCTGATTCTTCAAGGGTCAGTAACCATGGCATCCATGTTCCTCAAGTTCTTAAGCTTTTGCTGTCGAAAAGGGAGAGACAGAACATAAGGATAGCAGAAGAGTAGAAGAAAACAGATAATTGGTGTGGAAGAAATGAGAGACACTTCGATTTCTGGGCGGGGGAGGGATCTATTGCTAGAAGGTTCCCAGGCAATGCCCGCTCGTCCTTCTACTAAGGATAAAGTGAAGACGTTAGGGCAGTGACAGTTTTGAATTGCTTATTAGAAGCTGAAGCTAAAATTTGTAAAGTTAAGTAAATAATTTAGCTACATCGGCAGGAGGGGTGGGGGTCGAAGGACATCTTCATAATATATAAGAATTCGGTTCGTACCGCGAAGAAAACACAACACGTCACCATTACAGAGATCAGCTGGTTAACGCTGTTTAAGGAAATAATCGCCGTTTAAACTGAGAATCAAACGAAATACATAAATATGAAATGTAGAATTGCTGGTTGTTAAAGCAGGTGGTACATATACTTACCATTGAGTTTGTAGGGTTTATAGGACTGTGGCCACTGTCGAGGCAGTGTGACGTCGAGTGGCAAAATGTTAACAACGAACGGAAGCTAATTCAGCGTCATACTAGATAACTAACGTCACTAACTGCATGGGTTAGCGTCATCATTTCTTGAGGTCGTGGATTGGACGCAGCAGAGTAAGTTTTTGTCTGACGACAGAGAAAGATTTCAGTCTCCGGAACGTCGTTTTTATTAATGGTAGGACGACTGAAACGTCCCAAAAAGTGTGTTACTTAGGTGACGATGTGTGCTTCTCGTGTGTGTAACTGGAGGTCCAGCCAGCGGTGTGAGAAGTTGATGGCTCCAACTGCTGCCAGCAATTTAGTACACGCTCGCCGTCTGTCTGTCCGTCCGTCGAGATTGACACTTGCTTGGCGCAAGACACAGTTGTCTTACGCTCGTCACTTATTGTCCGGCACTTCGTTAAGGTCTTTTGTTTTGTGCAGCTGACAAAGACAAAACCTAATCGACTGTGTCACTGGCACGAGACCCGACTACTCTCTGCTTGCGGTCAGATGGTTGAGTAGACTACAAATTCAGGAGTTTCCTCGCCAAATATTATTAGGGCCATCATCAAACAAGATGGATGACATCTGTGGGGGCACGTACCGCGCGTAGAGGAGATGAGAAATGGTTGTAAAATTTTTGTTGGGAATCTCAAAGGAAAGAGTCCACTCAGAAGACGTAGGCATACATGGGAGGATAATATTAAAATGTATATTAGGGAACTAGGTTTTGGAGGGTGTGGATTGAATTCATCTGGCTTTTGCGCAGGGACGAGTGGCGGGCTCTTGTGAACACTTTAATGAACCATCGTGGTAAATAAAAACCGAATAATTTCTTGACTAGCTTAGCGTACGGTTTACTCAAGGACTCTGATCCGTGAAGTTAGTAATGGCTTATTTAATGACACTGTCAGTAGCTCAGATTATATGCCTAAGCGTAGATGTCATTATGTTTGTTGCCAACACAACATAATTTCCCCAAAACAAAGTCTAAAACATTCGACCTAAGGATAATATTTATGGGAAGGACCAGTTATAGTAACCATGAGATTAAGAAGAAGTCGTAGGATAAAGAGCGAAAGACGAAATGAGAGAATAGAGAGGAATGAAAATAGTAGGAGAATATTATAAGAAGATACAGATGAAGTGGAAATGTGAGTTAACAGAAGAAGTAAGTGTAGAGAATGGAGTAACTGAAGAGGACATTTCTCAGCATCCCGGCTGTTAGCTTTGACAACATGCAGACGTCTGCTCCGAATCCGTGGCCTTTCTGCGGGTAGACACGCGTGCGTGAGGGCCTGAAAAAGGCAGATTGCGTGCCTTGCACGATAAGACGCAGAGCAGATGTCCCTACCCCTGGCGGTAATCGAAACCAGTCCTTCCAACCTGTAGCGGGTTTCATATGAGTAGATATGAAAGCCCGCCGCTGACAACTATCCCGAGCCAGCTAAATCCATTGCGCTCCTTAATACGTCATTGTTTCAAAATACGTTTTAATATCATCTTCCCAAAAAGAAGCAGGTCTCCCAAGTGGCCTATACACTTCTGGTTTTCAGACTAATTATGTATGCATCTGTCACCTTGCCTTGCGCGCTACGTCATCGTCATTGGTTTAATGACGATAATGATAATAATACTTTGTGAACAGTGCACTGAAAGCTTCCTTAAACGAGAAACGAAAGAGTTAGTTGATACAGTGTCCATGTTAGGAGTGTGATTATTTGATAGAATTATCCAGAGTATAATTTCAATTACATGGCAGAGGGATATCGGAGCAAAACATAAATGTTTTTAGAGATATCTGTTTGGTGTCAGGCCAGTCGACCTGCTACGAGGTCATCGGGCAGTTCTTGAGGTCATGTGAGAGTCCTCCAGAATAGACGCAGAAGATAATAGTCTTTCGAAACAAATGTTTTGGAATATGACACAGCAGCATGTGATTTGGGATTTTGATACGATTTTTTGGGGAGGGGGCCGCATTCGCCACCGCGAAAATCACGGATAAATGCGAAATGGTAGTCGGAAACCTTGAGAGGAATGGGGAATTTCAAAGGTCTAGTCGTACATGGGAGGATACTATTAAAATGGATCTTTGAGATACAGGATGTTAGAGTGTTGGTTAGATTGCCCTGGGTTTTAGGTTATGGTACATTGGCACAGTAATGGACCTTCTGGTTCAATAGTAAGTGGGGAATTATCTGACCAGCTGAGTGACTGTTAGCTTATCAAGAATGACTCAGATCCATGGAGTGAGTTAACGTAACCTGGTGTAACGTAACGTAACACAATAGTGCTAGGACGGAACACAGCTGCAAGTGGATGACAGGTAGCCAGGAGCTGTTTCCTCTTCCCAGATTCAGTTTTTGAAGTGTTGTCTATTTTTAGGGTCCAGATGACGGACAAAGTCAAAAAACTCGGGGGGGGGGGAATCGGTAGTGGCCTATTTCAGGCGCTGGATTCTAGCTGGGACTTCCCAAATGTTGAGTCCTACACCGTGGCGTTGGTCTCTCCGGAATTTTTAGCGTAGATAATTTGGAACAAAAGTTCCATTGTGGAGAAATAAATATGCATCCAAGACTTGAAGCTGAAGGTGTTTTTAAAAAGCTGTAAATTATTCCAGACGTGAAGTTGACAAAATGTGTGGAAGGGGTGGGTTGTTGAAATAATAGCGGAACTTAAGCATGAGGAGGGGGTGTGTATTCACGGGCAGAGTTAAGGCGAAGCAGACAAGTCTCCTCGGTCTATTAAAATGCCACAAAAAATGGAAGAAAATATTTAAGGGTGGTTGTCAAGGGCCGAGAGATTTGGAAACAAAACAGAGCCCCTCTGTAAAGTAGGCGCCTGTCAGCCAGCAGAGGTCTCTGATGGCTGATACCAGACTTTAGTGTGTCAAAGTTTGCCGCAAACTTTTCAGATCACTGACGTTTTGTTAGTGGAAAGAAAACATGGCGAAATCCTTAGCCAGCCAGGCTGTCAAAGAGCCTGGGTTTGATTGCTAAGGACAAATGAAACGCGATATGCATAAGTTACCATATTTAAGGGGTTCGTAGTAGTCATTTTTAAACACTGCTTAAAATCTTTTCGTACTGGATTTATATATTTTTTCGTGCCTAAAAATTTTTTTGTGGGGAAATTACATGAGAGGAGCTACAGAATTAGTATTTTCCGTGGAATATTGGTAATGTGATAAAATAACAAGGGGTTACATGAACAGAACATGTAGCATGCATGAGTGAAATCAGAGACGCACTATAAAATTTTATTGGTAAACCTTATGGGGAATAAGTTGGAACACGTTGGTGAATACGGAAGATTTCCATTAATTTTTATCTTGGAAAACGGGGCTCTAGGTTCTGAAAAAGATTCGGCTGGCTACATTAGCGGGCTTTTGTGAATACTGTGATGAACCTTGGGGTTTTGTAAAACCAAAGGAAAAAAAGTCTTCGCGTTTTGAGTGACTTGGATTTAATTGGGTTTTAACAGAGACTGTGTTTCTCAAGTAACAGAACGTTTGTTAAGAGCAGGGTGAGGTGAAAATGTTTCGTTTTACATCCCTTGTTACATGAGACCCACAGAAGCTTGTAAACATTATTGTAACGACTTCTGTTTATTTTATTTTCTAAACAGATTCGTTATAATGTTTAAATTTTCAAGGTTTGTGTAGACTTTAAAGAATAACGAACAGAGAACTTGACAGAAATGAGGAGACTGTTTGTTGGCAGTTTGTGTTTAGGTGGGTGTACCGTGGTGATAGATTAGGGTGCATTCCCAGGGGCCTCGCAGTGACCTGCCTGTCGTATGCTTGCATTCTATTGTCTGACTTTCCTCACAAACAAATTCTGTGCCACTACCGAAGGGCAGGTTGGTATAAGGGCGGTACCCTGTTCAAATATCAGTCGGTTTACAGGTTACCCTAACTCAAGGCACGCACACACGGGGGGGTTTCCATCAAAATAATGCTTATATTTCGAATTTAAATATTTTTGAGCGAT